CTATTCAGGTGATTAATATCCTCTTGGTTCAATTTTGGATGGTCATAGGTATCTAGAAATCTGTCCATTTCTTCAAGATTTTCAAATTATTAGAATATAGGCTCTCAAAGTAGTCTCTGATGATTTCCTGGATTTCCATGGTGTTTGTTGTTATCTCCCCTTTTGCATTTCTGATTTTACTGATTTGGGTTTTTTTCTCTCCTCATTTTAGTCAGGTTTGCCAGAGGTCTGTCAATCTTATTTATTTTTTCAAAGAACCAGCTTTTTGTTTCATTGATTCTTTGTTTTTTTTTTGTTTGTTTGTTTCTATTTCATTGATTTCAGCCCTTATTTTTATTATTTCTCTCCTTCTGCTTGTTTTGGGATTTGCTTGTTCTTGTTTTTGTAGGAGTTTGAGATGTATATAGGTCATTGATTTGAGATCTTTCTGTCCTTTTAATATATGCATCATGGCTATAAACTTTCCTCTTAGGACTGCCTTTGCTGTGTACCATAGTTCTGGTAGGTCATGTTTTCATTTTCATTAACTTCCAGGAAACTTTTAATTTCCTCTTTTATTTCATCAATGACCCATTGATCATTGAGCAATGTGTTGTTCAGCTTCCAATTGTTTGCATGTTTTTACTGTTGTTTTTGTTGTTGATTTCTAGTTTTAATGCATTGTGATCAGATAGAATGCATGGGATTATTTCTATTTTCTTATATTTGCTGAGGCTTGCTTTGTGCCCTAAGATATGATCAATTTTGGATTAGGTTCTGTGATCTGCTGAGAAGAATATATATTGTGCAGAAGTTGGATGAAATATTCTGTAGACATAAGCTAGGTCCATTTGATCTATGGTGTGATTTAGTTCTAGAATTTCTTTATTGATTTTTTGTTTGGATGACTTTATCTGTTGGTGATGGGGGGTGTTAAAGTCTCCCACTACCACTGTGTTGGGGTCTATATATGCTTTTAGGTTCTTCAGAGTATGTCTGATGACATTGGGTGCATTGAAATTGGGTGTATATAGGTTGATAATTGTTATTTCCTTTTGGTGTATTTCCCACTTTATTAGTATGGAGTGTCCTTCTTTATCTCGTTTGATCAACGTAAGTTTGAAGTCTACTTTGTCCGAGATAAGTATTGCAACTCCTGCCTGTTTTTAGGGGCCATTGGCTTGGTAAATCTTCCAGCCTTTCACCCTCAGCCAGTGCTTGTTTCTGTCGATGAGATGGGTTTCCTGTAGGGAGAAGACTGTTGGATCTTCCTTTTTAATCCAGTTTGCCAAATGGTGTCTTTTGATGGGGGAGTTATGTCTGTTAACATTCAGTGTTAGCATTGATAGGTATGTGGTGATTCCTGTCATTTAGTTGTCTTTGTTGTTTAAGGATTTGATTGTGTGCAGCTGAATCAATGTTACTCTACTTTCTTGCCTTTTCTTCTCCTGTGCTTTGTATTGCCTGCACTCTCATGGTTTTGTTTGCTTTCACTTTCTGTGTGCAGAATTCCTTGAAGAATCTTTTGAAGTGGTGGCCTGGTGGTCATATATTGTTTTAGTTTCTGCTTATCATGGAAGACTTTTATTGTTCCATCTATTTTGAATGATAGTTTTGCTGGGTAGAGTTTCCTAGGGTTGAAGTTATTTTCATTCAGTGCCTGGAAGACCCCACTCCATGCTCTTCTTGCTTTTAAGGTTTCCGTTGAGAAATCTGCCATGATTTTGATGGGTTTACCTTTCTATGTTATTTGTTTTTTCTCTCTTATAGCCTTCAATATTCTTTCTCTATTCTCTGTGCTTGTTGTTTTAACGATAATATGTCATGGGGTAGTTCTACTTTGGTCAAAGTCTGTTTGGTGTCCTGGAGGCTTCCTGTACCTGAATGGGCATAGTTTTCTCTAGATTTGGGAAATTTTCTGTTGTTATTTTATTGAATATATTAAGAATCACTGTTGCTTGTATCTCTTCTCGCTCTTCAATACCCATGATTCTCACATTTGGTCTTTTGATAGTGTTGGTGAGTTCTTGCATATTCTTTTCACAGGTCTTGAGTCTGACTAATAGTTCTTCAGTTTTTCCTTTAATTTTCATTTCATCTTCAAGTTCTGAGATTCTGTCTTTTGCTTGTTCTAATCTGCTAGAGTGGCCTCCCATTTTGTTTTGTATTTCTGTTTCATTCTTTTTTCTGAGGTTTTCCATATCATGGATCACGTCCTCTTTAATATTGTCAATTTTCACCCTTAATTCATTAATCTCTCTATTTATGGTGTTCTCTGATTCACTTTGGTGTTTATTTAGGGCTCCTATGAGTTCATTTATTTGTTTTTTGTTTTCTCATATTCTTTATTTTTGTTGGCTTGGAATTTCTTGAGTGCCTCCTGTACGTTTTGGTAGACCATGTCTGGTAAATCTCTATGAAATTCTCATTGACTACTTGCAGGATTTCTTCTCTTTCAGGTTGTTTTTGTGGGCTTCATTGGGTTCCTTGGTATAGTTTATCTTTGTTTTGTTGGAGTCTATATCTGGATAACCATTTTCTTTATTTCCCTCTGAATCCTGTACTAATTTATTTTTGGGGGAAGAATGGTTTCCATCCCTTTTTCGTCTTCCCATCATTCCACTTGGTACTGTTTCTGTCCCTGGTCTATCTGTAATTTAGTATTAACTAACTTACAATAGTAAAACTAACAAAACCAAGAAAGAAAGAGAAAAAAGAAAAAGAAAGAAAAAAAAAAGAAGAACCAAAGAAATCAACAGGGAGAGATGGTGGACAATCAAACAGTGAACAAGACAAACAAACACTTAAAGAAAGGAGAAAAAAAATTCCTGGTTCAGGAACAGTAGAATTTCAGTCTTAGTAGTTCTGGTGTTACTCCTTTCGCATCCAGTCCTGTTTGTCTGTGTGTCTTAGGCAGGTTTGGAGCTGGCATCTGGTGGTGCTGGAGTCCTTGTGTGCTGGAGTCCTGGGGGTTCAGGGTTTCAGAGTTTTGTTTCTTCTTCTTTTTTTTTTTTTTTGCCAAGTGTGGGTCCAGCAGGAAAGTATTCTGTTTGGCCTCCTGAAGGTTTCCCAAGCACGTTTGGTGCTAGCGGCCAGCAGGCTGGCTGGCAGGCAGTGGTGGCCAGTGGGTTGGCAGGTGGGTGGGCCAACAGCCAGTGTGCTGGTGGGCTGGCAGGCGGGTGGGCATCGGCTGCATGGGGGTGGTGGCCTGCCTGGTCTTTCAGTGTATTGTGGTGTGGAGAAGGCTTCCACAGGCTAGGGGTTCAGAGTGCTGAAGTTTCAGTTCTCCCTGGTGGTTTACATCAGCCAAGCATGTCTCCAGCATCTCAGCAAGGTCCCTGATTCATGGAGTTCACACTGCCTGTGTCTGTGTCCCAGTCGCCATTTTTTCCTTCTCATTGTTGTTTTTCAATACTGGGGTTTGAATTCAGGCCATCACACTTGCTAGGCAGGCGCTCTGCCACTTGAGCCACTCCACCAGCCCTATCTATCAACATGTCTATCTATCAGCCATATCTATTGTACTACAGTTGTTTGACTGTAGGTCAGAAAAGAGAAGGTCTTTCTTCAGCATTTATGGTCACTGACTTATCCATGTACATAATTGAGATATAAATTTATACTACCCAATTGGTCTGAAAATCTCAATCACTGAAATTAATCTAAAAAGTGGTTTGAGGAGGAGTATAACCATGGGGCAGCAGACAAAAGCAAAAATCTCGTCTGTGTGATATACCTATAAAGCAGCAATATAGGATTCCAATAGATGTATGTTTACTGAAGATGAGTTCACAATCCACAGAACAAAACCACTAAGGACACAGCTACCCTAAAGAAGTCAGCAGCCACAACAAGCAGGCCTACAGGAGCTATCAGGTGAGACTATGTGTGTTTTGTAAATTATTTAATATCAAAATAAATAATATAAAATAGGAAAAAAACTGAAAAACAAGGGTAGGGAAAAATGACCAAGCAGATCTTCTAAAAATGAAGATACAGAAACTGAAAATTTAAAAACTCAATGTAAGGACTGAAAGGAAGATTAGACAAAGGTGAGGAAAGACTTGGTAGAAGATTTAAGTAAATTACCTAAAATCTACAAAGACCAATAAAAAGATAGAAAATATTTTTAAAGTCTGAGATTGTACTAAATAAAAAGGAAAATGTGTGTTTAATATGGGTTACAGAAGTAGGCATTACAGGGTTGGTGGACTGGTTCAAGTGGTAGAGTGCCTGCTTAGCCAGCATGAGGTCCTGAGTCAAACACCAGTACTACCAGAAAAAAAAAAAAAGCAGGCAATACAGAGAGCAGGGGAGAAGAGACATTAAAAAATAATGAGAAGGGATGGTGGAGTGGCTCAAGTGGTAGAATGCCTGCCTAGCAAGCATGAGGCCCTGAGTTCAAACCCCAGTACTGCCAAAAAAAAAAAAAAGACCAAAAAATAATGAGAGATTTTTAGAATTTATAACAGACATAAATCCTCAGCTTTAAGAAGCACAATGAGTTCTTAGTGAGACAGATAAAAATAAATACACACTGAGACAATACTGAGAAACTAAAGAACACATATAAAAAGTAAAATTCTTAAAAATAATGCAAAAAAAGGCATTGTCTGAAAAAGGCCAATTAGACTAAAGCAGACTTTCTTAAAAGCAAAAAGTAAAAGGTAATGGAATGATATCTTCAAGATAATGAGAAAGCATAATTGCCAACCAAGATTCCATGCTTGGCTAGTATGTAAATCAAGTGAAATCAATACTCAGGAGTTCAGCACTGATGCAACCTCTCAGACATAGCCATTAAGGGATGTGCTTCCAGAAAGAGGATACTGCAACCAGGAAGGAGAGGTGAGAAAAGGCATCATTGAGCAAAGAAACTTGTAAAAATGAAGAAAATCTAAATGTGCACTGATTTTTAAAATAACAATAACTAATGTGAATCATACAAAAACAAGATGGAATTAAAACAGTTAACAATAAGATAAAATAGGAGAATGATTAAAATTAGTCATTGATTAGAAAATCAGATATTGATTTTACTCTATAAAGTCAAGCTTATACTTTTTAAAAATTAATTAATTAGTTTATTTAGGGATAGGGTCTTACTATGTAACCGCAGCAGGTCTGGAACTTATGCTGTAGCCCAGACTGGCCTTGAACTTGGGGTCCTCCTGCCACAGCCTCTTGAGTTCTGGGTGTACAACTGTGTGCCACCATACCTGACATAAAAATTTTAAATTATCAGCTAAAAGAAAAGAAAGCGAAAATTAAATTTCTACATAAGCAGTAGAGAGAACAAGGAAAAGTTGGTCAGAAAAACAGATGGTAGGCCACTAAGAAAAAAAGAAAAAAGGAATAGAAAAAGTAGGATAAATAGAATGTAAATATGATAAAAACAACTGCAAATACTGACAGCCAGCAAACTAGCTAAAAGTTTGAATTAGAAAATAAAAATTATCCAGATGCCACTTACAAAAACCCATGAGTGAGACATAAGAATATGAGAAGTTAGAAAGTAAAAAAGATGGAAAATTTTTATATAACCCACTTAGAGTGAATACCCACACATTTCACTGTGACTGCATCAATATGTCTGATGGCTAGTCTAGCCTTTTTTGTGCTGTTATATAATATTCTGCACTGTGCGCTTTGGATATGGGCTTTAGGTAAAAAATAGCAGACCTATTTTTCAAGATAGAGTTTAAAATATAAACAATTGTTAGAGATAAAATTAGTCATCTTAGAGGATAAAAGGAAAGAGTCTCAGGAAGAGAAAATAATTCTAAACTAATAACATAACTTCCAAATACATATGGTACATGCTGACAGAATTGCAAGTAGAGATACACACATCTCTGGAGGTTTTAACACATCTCCCTTAGTTCTTGATAGATAAAACAGAAAACAATTCATATGGATATAGCCAACTTGAACCACAAAGTCAATAAGCTCTATCCAAAGGACAAATATGAAATCTTCTAGGAAGTTAATTAGTATTGAAGGACTTTAAACAAGTTTAAAGTTGACCCCTGGACTTAGGTATTAGGTAAAGAGCTTGATCAAATGGCCTCTAGGATCCCAACTAACTCTGAGATTGTCTAGTTTCGGTAAATAGTTCACTGAAAGATTTAAAATCTGGGCTGGGTTTTTCTTTATTTCAAATCTGGGTAAAGTTCCAAGATGAGTTATAGCTTGAGGTATAAACCTCAACGTTCCCACTGTGTTCCACTTTGAGTTTGGGGTGGGGTGGGGATCACCAAGCTAAACCCAAAGAAAACTTCATGGGTGTACTCCAAACAGAACCAAATCAAACAAACCAACAATTTTGCACAAATTCCCATGAGCCAAAACCACTGAGCTTCACTCAGCAACAAAGAACTATATTAGACCCCCGCTTCAACTTGGGCCACATTTTCCTAAACCTCAGACATGTCAGGACACTGTTAAGTTTGAAAGATGAGCAAAAGGTTAGATTTTGAAAGAATTATCTTAAAATGATTTAAGTTTCTATAACATTTTGGAATCGACCATAGAATAAAATTATTGAAGAAATAAATCATACAAGGTCCCTGTACCCTGTGCTAGGCAGCAGTATTTCCTCCCAGACATTCACCATTGGGGACAAAAAGAGAATTTGTGTACTGATGTTCAACAAACAAATGACACAGCATTCTAAGAGGAAAAATAAATAGTGAAGCCTGTGTTGAAATAATATAATGGGCTAAATTTAGCACTAACATCTTTGTGAAGACAGATTTGGCCCAAGCATTACTTTGCATATACAATTATAACTCTACTGTTATGAAAACAGATAAGAACAAAAAGGAGCCACTATTTAATTGGTACACACTATACCTACTTGTGTGGAAAACAGTGCTGTATGTACTGATGTAAAAGTTTGCATTTGTAAATTTGATATCTTAGTGTCCCTTTTTAGAGAGTCCTGTTTCCCTTTGATCACTTTTTTTCTAAGTTCACATCTGAAGGGTAATGTGCCCATATCATAACAAGGTTTGAGGGAGGCATATGTCACGCAAAGGTGTGAACATCCAATAATCATACTTATGAACAAGAAAGGATACCTTTGATAATTTTTAAGGGAAGTATTAGGGAGGTATGATGTTCACCAATGCTTACCCAACCAGCAGGGGGCGGGGGTGGCTAGCAATGGCAATGGTGGACAGAGCAAGGAGAATGGGAAATGAGGTAATAGCAGAGGCATCTGTCCAATGAACTTTTAGAACCTTTGACTTTTTCTTAAATTCCCTAGAGCTTATGCACATAACATTCCACCTGCCTGGAATGCTATCCAGAATGTCCATGTTTCTGAATTTGAGAGATCAGTCTTATAATCAATGCATAGCTATCACAAAGGAGGTTTCATATCTTGGATGGAAACTCATTTCTTAACATGGAGCATATTAATGACTTAATGATGTATCTTAAAAATTCTGGCATCTCAAATAAAGCAAATACAGTTAGTTTTAAATTTTTCCCAGCAATCTTTTTTTTTTTTTGGCCATACTGGGGTTTGAACTCAGAGCCTCACATTTGTTAGGCAGGTGCTCTAATGCTTGAGCCACTCCACCAGTCCAACTATTGGCTTCTTAAGAGAAGACATGACATTTTAATATTTGTCAGTAGTTCCCACTGTACCTATGTATCATAGGGCTGGCTTTCAGTGAATGTGTGCTGACTAGTTTATATTGGGTATCAAACAACATATAGTTTAGGAAGAGAAATAAGACAACATCAATACAAAATCCACTGAAACATACGAGTGAAGGGACAGATTGTGTTTATTGGTGGAGAAAGACAAGATGGGCTTGTCAATGAAGACTGCAATCTAAGAAGTGAAATACACAGAATACAATAGAAGCCAGAGGATAAGCAAATCTCTCACCCTACTCTGGCAGCTTGACAAAGACTAGAAATAGGTGGTGATTAAGCAAGCAGCTTTGCCAACAAGGGCAGGATAAATGCAGTGAATGACATAAGTAACACAATAGGCTAAGGAAGCTATAGAGCTAGGCAATGACATTCCACAAACATGTATTTAAAATCCTTTTTGACATTAGGTAAGATGGGGAGTGGAAGGGAGATTACAGGTGGGGAAGGCAAAAGAGAATAAAACACAACCCTTGTCCTTAGTGTGTTCACTGTAAAAAACACAGACAAATACATATAATTATGACATGATAAGGGCCGTCATGCCTCAAGTATTATGGGCACATGAGAGAGGAGAGGTAAAGATTCTGTTACCTGACAGAACAAGAAGTTCTTGTGACTTTTCAAAGTAACTCAAGACATGTCCACACTGTAACATTTGCATCATCAAAATAAAAATTTGATGATCCAATATGATCACAACTGTCACTACAATGAGAGATAGGTTTTCATAACATAAAATGTTTCCGCATTTCAGAATACTCAAAAGCAAAAATAAGCAAAAATACTCTGATTACAACAAATTGTCAGCACCAAGTTCTTCATAATAGAAGCTGGTGTATTTTGTTTCATTTTCTATCCCCATTCATGTACATTCCACATGTGAAAACAGTACCTAATAATGCACTTGTTTATGCTACCAAAAGCAGGGGAGAACACAGATTATTAGGTTATTTTTTGTTGACATATACTAATTGTACAAAACAATGGATCTCATTGTGACATTCTCATATGTGTACAATGTGCTTTGATCACCATAATTCAAGAAGCTTTTCTTGCCACCAACTAATAACTGCTCTATAATTTTTTTCTCTTTTTCAACTATATCTTCTTCCAATACTCAAAGTATTCAGCCCACAACAAACAAATAACCCAAAGCTAACATTCTACATAAAATGCCAGGAGCCTTGAGAAGGGGGCAGAAAGCTCCCTAGGTCTTATTCCTCATTTCAGCATCAGATCTTCTCCCTTTCCAGTTTCACAGAGAAATGGACAACTGGCTGCTCCATGCCCAGGTTCTGCAGAATGGAAATGCAATTTCTGGCACTATGACAGATTCTACCATCACAAAGCCAACAGCATTCCCCATGGAATTCACTAACATAGGATTTTAACTGCACTGGCATGTATAAATTTGAGCAAAAGTACATCTTAAGGAATGATGAATGTCAGAAGAGATAAAAGTTTAGAATTGTAAGAGTTTGGAAATTTCACTACTTTTGTCTTCTAAAGAAAAAACTGTTCATAGAGCTGAAATATTGGATTCTGTCAATTCACTCATTCCAGATATCTGGGAATGCTTTCTACATATGAGGCATTGGTCTAGTGCTAAAAATGTGGCAGTAGCAAGTGAGAAAAGGAACCTGTTCTCATGAGGTTTGTTTCAGTTGGGGAGACAGACAATAAGTATATAAGAAACAGATCGGAGAGCCAGGCTTAGTGGTACATTCCTGTAATCCTAGCACTTAGGAGGATCATGAGTTCGAGGCCAACCTGAGCTACATAACAAGACTCTGTCTCCAAAAGACCATGAAAAAACCAGAAAGTGCAAGTATTATAAAGAAAGCGTAAAAATGACAACTGCTTTAACATGACCAGATTCTTTCTAATTACTTACATCAGGTCAGAGAAGGCCTCTTTAAGGAGTAACATTTCAGCTGAAATCCAAGTAACAAGGAGGAAGAACACCTAGGAATGAAATAATAGGCCCAAGAACAATCTTGGTTTATCCCAAGAACTGAAAGAAAGCCACCATGGCTGTAACAAAAGGGAGGAAGAAGTAGGTCTGAGGAATTAATAGAGACTAGAGTATTTTAAGCAAGGTAGGAGCCTGTGTTTTATTTATTTAAGTTTGGCATAGAATCTTTGTATACTTTAAAGGGGGCAAAGATTGGATCAGATGTGCATTCTTAAAAACTCATTTTGGCTACTGAATAGTGAATGGAATATAAGTGGTCAAGAGAATGATGGCTGGGAGAGTAGCTGTAACACTGACTATGGTGGCAATAGTAAAGTTGGAGGAAAACGGATCTGTCTGAGAGATACTTTAGAGTTCAGTGGACAGAACTTATGATGGAAGATGAGAAAATCAAGCAATCCGGAATGACTAGAGAAATTTATTCCCATAAAGACAATTGAAGGAGGACAGATATAAATAGGGAAGATCAAGTCTTCCTTAAAAATACCTTACCCTTTAGATTACCATAAATATCCAAGTGGAGATGTCAAGAATGTGATTAGATAGGGAAGTCTAGAGTTCTGGGGATAGATC